TTGAAAAAATATATAATAACATTTATTCGTTTTTTGTAATGTCACATTTTTATTGCAAGCTTTTTCTCAGCTTTTTCTTTGTTGTATCCTCTAAATTTCATTTCACGGAAAATGCAGTTATTTTATTTGCCTAAATAAAACATATATTTTTGTTAATGTAATGACATTTCTTAGTTTGTATATACAGTTTGCGTACTTACCATGTCGAGTACATATTTCGTAAATTCCTTAAAATCCCACTGAAGAAAAGTTATTCCGTTTATATATAAAAATAATTCTGCTATAGAATGTGCTTTAATTATAGAACAACTAGACTCACCACCACTAATACCACCCTGGGCTAATGGGTTTCCAACTGCGTCAGCTTCGGCCTTTGCTTCCACTTCAGGTGCGTGCATAATTGCCATAACAAAGATTATGGCAAATGCCAATGATAGAAATGATAGTTTCATCTCTTAATGTTTATTGAAGCTCAAGTTGTATTTATTTTACGTTTATGATTTGCTAGCAGCGTTCAAGCTTATATAGTCCAAGAAATGCAAGATAAGCATGACTGTCGTGTCTAATAGATACTTAAATTTTCTATATATAGTTTATATGATACAATAATATCTCCTATTTGAAATTATAAAAATGTTTTTATTATATGCACGAAATATACAATTTTAAGAAAATAGTAAAACAATTATTATAAATCTAAAATAAATCCGAATATTTAATGATAATGATTGTAAATTATTTTATGAACAAAGGTGTTAAGTCTAAAAGAATTCAACATATTATTAGGAGTGTGCATTAGTTTTGAGGGATTTTTTTCTCAAAAATTGATTTATTATACGAATACCTTAATGACTGTAATCAAAATATTTCCCTTCGTTTTCTTTAACTTTTTCTGGCAAGAGATGGATACCGCAACGATAAAAACATTTTTCTTCGGAATTGATACAATTTTTTCAAATTTTCGCCTTTTTTCGAAATTATGAAAATGCGTATTCTCTAGAGCATATATACATTGTGTCGATCGGAACAAGAAATAATCAGCAGGGTGTGATAAGACTTCCCATTTCAGCTTTAATAGCGTTTGCTTCACTAATAATGCAACATGAGGACGAAAATGCCGTTTACAAAATTTCATTTTTAAGATGATACAAACACGATGTTTACCGCGTCTATTGTTAGTGAATGATTAAATATCATGAAGTAATGTCAAAGCATTAAGAAACAATAGCTGTGATTGGAATGTCTTCGACAACACCGACATTAGTGCCATTATCTTGCAAAACCTTTAAAACTAATGCACACTCCTAATAATACAATATATGTATATACATATATTTGTATTTATATGTTGGATCTTTTTAGAATTAACACCTTCATTAATGAAATGTTTTTATTGTAGCTGGATATCTATACTATTTATTGATACAAACTTAAGTAGTGTAAAAGTATTTAACACAGTTTAGGAAACAAAACTTTCAAAGCATGAAAAATCCCTATCTCCCCCTATATATGTAACACCTTATACAGTATACACTATAAACGCACGCACACACATATATATATATATATATACATATATATGTGTATATATACAGGGTGTTCCCGGGTTAAACGGCCAAACTTAAAATATAAATTTAGGATATGAAAACAAACAAAAATTTTCCTCTGGACGTATGCTCGCAAACGCTTCTTTCAAGAGATATTAACTTACGAAGTTACAAAACTGTAATGAATAAATAATGTCGAAATAAGGTACATCCTCTTTATTGCTTTATAATAATCAAAATTAGTTATTACATTAAATGTTTTGTTCAAAATGATGGCCTCCAGTCCGGAGACAAGCATTGCACCTATCAATGACAGAACGTGTGGCTGACTGACATTGCGCGTTCGTAATTTCTTCGCACGCTTGCTCAATTCTTTGTTTTAATGATTGAAGGTCATTAACAGGCATTTCATACACTTTTTGCTTCAGAGTACCCCATACAAAAAAATCTAGTGATGTTAAAGCTTCAACTTCATAAGTAAATATCTCATGAAAGAAGCATTTGCGAGCATACGTCCAAAGGAAAATTTTTGTTTGTTTTCATGTCCTGAATTTATATTTTATAAGTTTGGCCGTTTAACCCAGGAACACCCTGTATACTGATATGAATATAAAAGTGAAATATCTTAAATGATAAAATCCCAATAGGGTAAGGACACTAATTTATAATCCTACACTGAAAAAAAGTCTAGTAATAATAATCCAGCCTAGATGACAGTTATGGAGTTTTGATAAAATAATTTCAAACAAATATTCGGTTAATATAATCACAAAATGCTTTGTAAATATTAATAATATTTGATAATTATTACCAAACGGCTGATTATTATTACTATGTTTGATAATATTTACTAAATGTTGCACTATATATGCTATAAAAATTACATTGGTTTATTTCCAGACTTCTTTTTTCAGTGTAACGATAAAAATTTATATTTTTATCCAAAAAGATATCAATAAAATATTTAATAGTAATTATAATTATTTATAAAGATTACTTTATAAATTATTTTATTCAGTTTCAGTACTATTTTATATTTTTTAAATAAATAAATAAATTTTAAATGAATAAATAAAATTAAATACATTTTTAAAAATACGTCTAAATTGACGTGTTACGTTAATAATATCAATAAAATGTACGTTGTAACTAGTAAACAAGAAATAATTGACGATTGATAAAGCTAACACAAATGCTAAAGAATATTGTGATATGCTCCATTTGATGAAAAATACAATAATTATTTAAATATAATCAATTATCTGGAATTAATGTCCGATCTACATCCAGTGCCTTTACATAATAGATATGTTTTACAAAATAATGTAATAAAATTGAGGATTTTGCGATTAAACACGTTTTTATATATTAAAATATATGTTTTACAATTTGTGTACAACGGTTTTAATCTGTATTGTGTGCGCACTAATGCATCCAACGGAATTCGCTATAAGTTTTTATCTAATTAAGTTTTAATGAATTTCTCTACATATGTAATTAATAAACATATTTTTATTGTGTCTAATACTGTGTTCTTAATTGTGTCTATACATAGTGGTAGTACATGTACCTATAAAAATTCTGTATTCTTATAGAATATTAGAATATAAGAATTCAATTTTCAATCTTTTGTCTGACAAAAAAAACGCTAAGTTTTGCGCTATTCCGCTTTTATCTGTGTGTCCTAAAAAATTTCGATTTATATCGTTATCCTGTTTTCGTCTCATTTGTTTCGGGCGATAAATTATAAATTTTGACAGGCGCTAAATGCCGTTTAATAATTACATCGGGTCTTCATGTAATTTTGTAACGCAAAAAAAAAGAAACGTCGGGTCAACCTACTTTTACGATGACACGCTTCCTTCTCCAGATGACGAAGTGACACAGACGAACATACATATTACAGCCACCCGTGTATGTGCGTGCGTGCGTGCGTGCGCGCGCGCGTGGGTGTGTGTGTGTGTGTCTCGACCCTTTGAGAAAAAAAGCTTCCCTTCGCTTTCTCGAGTTGAAAACGTAACAACCAGGGTACATCTCGACTCCGACGCCGAAGTCAAAGAGACTTACCGGGAAAACGGTAGCACGACGAAGTCTCGCGAGACTCCCAGCTCCCTTAATTCCTTCACCTTTTACAACCTGTTCGCATAAATAAGTCGGCACCAGTTTTCTTTTCACTGCTTCACTTTTTAACAAGATACAATAGATGATAGATTACGACACTTAATTAATTTATCCTTTTTTTTTCTAAATTACACACTTCGACAAAAAAAAGTAAATACGTAAGAATCATTTTCTAGTAGTAGTTTTTTAGGTGCTGAATGCCTGTTTATCAAATTGTTCTATTACGTCATAATTTTGAGTGCGGTTAAAGTTGCAATGAAGACTATTTTAATGTATTTTGGCATATTATGCACGGAAAGAACGATTTTGTTGAAAGGTCTACAAATTTTGCTAAATACAGATCTGAAAATAATTTGTGTTCAATAATCAAAATAATTTGTTGGAAAGTTAAAAATGATAGGCGTTATTATAAAACATTTTGCTATTCTAACAATCGTTTTCACTTTCCAATAAAATTATTTAGATTGTTGAACAAAAATTATTTTCTGATCTGAATCCAGCAAAATTATTCTTTCCGTGTAACTATACTACAACGTGTTAGAGAAGTAAAAACTACACTTCTCAACAAAATTAAAGCATCACTTACTCTACCCTCCAAAAATAGGCAAAATTCAAGAGAGTGTAACTTCGTCAAAAATGATCGTATCGAGATGTTCAAAAAAGCATTTTACAGCTTAAAATCTTTACTTTTCAAATCGGTACTTTAGAAAACGATTCTACTAATTTTTCATGGAATTACACGGATAGAAAAGGAGACCCGACGATCTCAAAATTTTTTACGAACTTTGACAAGTTCCATGGCGCGAATTA